ACCACAACCAAGCTTCACAATCATCATCACTATGTACCAGTATTACATGGTTTGTTTAAAACTTGTAGTGTGTGTGTGTGTGTGTGTGTGTATGTATATGTATATCCTTTTGTCTGGTAAAAAAAATGTCCCTGGACCCTAATCCCCTCATTTACATTAATTCTTATGGGGAAATTGGATTCACTTAACATCGTTTCGCTTAAAGTCACATTTTTCGGGAACAGAACGACACCGTTAAGTGAGGAGTTCCTGTATCTATGTATCTCCATGTAATGTGTTATAGGCTATTAAGGCCCAGTGTAAATGAAGTATACTTACCATAAGTAGGTGCATTACATGTTAACAACAAAATCAAAAAACTAACGTCCCAAAGTAAATTATAAATGAAGGCTTCACACATTGGCCATTTAAAGTCATTTATTAATCCAAAGCCCAGTTTAAATATGGTGTGGTATTTGCAAACTCCCCGCACCTTGTAATTAATAAAACCTCAACTAACCATCGGAACTTCTAACTACGAACTCTGGGGTAGAATGCTTGGGGTATAAATGTAAACTAAGTAAGGTTTATTTTGTAAGCAATAAAAAGCACTTAAAGTATTATATACCGACACTGTGTCCGGATCTGTCTGCTCCCCCATCCCGTAAAAAGGCCCCTGCTGCGGGTCTAACCAAGTGACCACTCTGGAATCAGAGTGTCCCAAAGGGGAGCATTTCCCCATGTAGACATGCCCTACAGCTCCACTGCAGCGTAGTGAGACTGAAATGTGCAGTGAGTTCTGGCACCGACCTGGTACTCCGCATTGCGCCCCACTGGGGGCCGTTCGGGATTTGCGTCGTCCTCGGCCCCCTCCTCCTCCAGTTCCGCTTTCTTAAACCGCTTCAGAGACTCCAGCAGTTCAGCCACCGGGATCTGCGTGCGCAGCCTGCTTGCACCTGCTGGGATCCGGGAACCAGGGGTTAGCCTGTCCCTGGGGCCTAGCTGCTGCCATTCGAACTGGGCTGGGGTCACCAACCCTTCTGGCCAGGGACCCCCGTCCCTGTGAGGGTCTCACCACCCCCTTCTGGCCAGGGCCCCCTGCCCCTGTGAGGGTATCCCTCCCCCCACTGGCCAGGGCAGCCCCTGATTCCAGGGAGGGCATAACCATCCCCTGCCAGCCAGGGCCCCCCAGCCCCTGTAAGGCCCCGTCCCAGGGAGGGCATTAGGAGCCCTCGGCCTGTGCACTGAGATGCCAGCACATCCAGACAGGGCCAGGGTTGGCCTCGCTCCGCCCACACCTCCTCGGTTCCTCTTCAGGGGGATTGCCCCGTTGCTCTTGTGGTCCTTTGAGTCATTCCGCTTCTTCCTGTGGATGAGCAAGGTGAGACCCGGGATGAGCGGAGGAGAGCCTGAGAGGGGAAAGCATGTCCCCCGACGCCCCGGGAATGCCCCCCCAGCTGGCTGCAGGGGGCCAAAGGCAGCCCATGTACCAGTCCCTGCTGTCACCGCCTTCAATCAGCCTGGCCCATCCATGGACAGACGCCTCAGCCCCCGGCATGCAGCCCTCTGCCTCGCTCCAAAGAGCCTGGCCCCCAGTGCCCAAGCCTCACCCCCAGGCCCGCGCTATGCAGGGTACGGGGCTAGGCCAGATGCCCCGGAGTTGCCTGGGCCTTTGGGTGATTGTGGCTTTGCTGCCCAGGAAGGGGCAAGTTGTGCAGTGCCGGAGGCCGTTCCAGCAGGCAGGCCAGGCCGCCTGCGGAGCCGTGCCCAGGGAGGGGTGTGACGTTATTGATATAACCTGGGACCATATAGATCAGTGTTGCGACCAAGGTCCTGTAGTGGCACCCAGATCTTGTATAAAGGGGGTCAAATGGGGTGTCTAAGACAAGGTTATGGTTTATGGGTTATGATTATGCTGTCTATATGTGTGTA